AACTTGAAGATGTCTGGACTTCACCTCCCAGAATTCCCCAGCCAGCATTCGCTGGCTGGGGAATTCTGGGAGTTGAAGTCCAGACATCTTCAAGTGGCCAAGGTTGAGAAACACTGCTTTAGAGGATAACTAACTTTGCTCTTGTTTAATGAAGTAGAAACAAGCAACATACAATAAAGCTTTCCCTAGAGGTTTTCTGATAAAACAAGAAACTTTTCTTTTTTAAAAAAACCATTATTAGCTAAGTATAGAGATAAATATTTCTGTAGAAGGACTAGGGGAGGTATGATAGCAGTGTCCCAATATTTGAGGGGCTGTCAGAAGGACAGGCGAGTCAAACTATTTTCCAAAGCACCAGAAGGCAAAACAAGAACCAATGGATGGAAACTAATCAAGGAGAGAAGCAACCAAGATCTGAGGCAAAATTTCCTAACAGTGAGAACAATCAACCAGCTGGAATGCCTTACCTTCATAAGTTGTGGGTGCTGCATCACTGGAGGCTTTCAAGAAGAGACTGGAGAGCCATTTGTCTGAAATGGTATAGACTCTCCTGCTTGTGCAGGGAGTTGGGCTAGATGACCTCCAAGGTTAGACATGGTATAGCAACTGTATTACTTATTCTAATGGATGGATTTATTTGGGCTCATGACTTTTGTTGCAATCTGGATGAGGGGACTGCCCCCCACCCCAATGTACACCTGGTCGTTTCAGACCTCTTAGTAGCCTTTGATAGCATCAGTCATAGGGTTCTTGTCCCATATAGGATGGTTAGGAATTGGGAATACCTCTCTTATAGTGATTTCACACCTTCCTGAGTAGACGAGCTTAGGCAATTGTGAGAGAGGAGTTAATTGTGAGTAGGATACCTTAGGGTTCATATCTGTCCTGTTCTTCATCATCTGCAAGAAACCACTAGGAAAGTTTATCATCAGGATGCTAATAATATCTAGATTTACATTTTTATACCAATCCAATCTAGTGACATTGGGAAAACCTTGATTTGGCATCTGGAAGCTATGAGGAAGTGAATGGGAAGTAAAAGCTCAATTTAAATCCTAGAATGTTGAAGGTGCTGTTTTCCCAGAAACAATCTGGCTTTCTACTATTTCCAGCTATGATACTTTCCAAAAGGAACAGTCACAACAGGAATTATTTGTGGTTTCTGCTTGAGAATCAGTTGGCGCTGCAGTGGGGCAAGTGTTACCTAGCTTTGGTTGGTAGATCAGGAATTCCTGCTATAACTCTTTGTGTCACTTCTAGAATATACTAATACTATAGCAATGCTACACATTAGCAGTACTTCATATATATTCTATGGCAAGGGTGTCAAACTCAATTTCATTGAGGGCCGCATCAGGGCTGTGGTTGACCTTGGAGGGCCAGGTGGGCGTGGCCAACTGGATGAGAGTGGCCAGCTTAACGAAAATCATTGGGCGTAGCTGGCTTGGGTGGGTGTGGCCAGCTTTATGCCACTCCCCAAACTGCTGGCGTGTTTCCTCTTCGCATTGGGTAGACCAGGCCGAAGCCATGCGGGCCGGCCCCTTACAATTTCCAGGATGGCCCCGCAGGCCTGATCTGACCACCTCACAGGCAGGATTTGGCCCACGGGACTTGTGTTTGACACCCCTGTTCTACGGGAATTTGTATTTAAGTGAAGGCACCTTTTCCCACATTAGCTATTATGTTTGGTGCTTACTCAGACTAGTCATTATGCATCCATTACCTTGAATAAATAGGTTTAATTTCTCTCAGGCTATAACCAAAAGAATATACAAATACAGTGCTTATGGTTAAAATAATATAGACCTTATGTGATACTAAAAATTTGTTCAATTTTTTATTTTTAAAATACTGTACTGTCAAAAATATTGTGGACTAATTGTTGACCATTTATTCAACATTTCCATTTCTGAACAATTATGCCGAAATACCAACATGACAGAGATCGAATACCCACTTAATATAATTAATCTTCAATATCAATAAATATGTAAATTTCCACAGATAAATGGAATAGTCAGGAAGCACTTACAGTATTTTCAGCTTCAACTATCATTTCAATTACAGTGTGATTCCCTAAGACATCATTCTACCGATAACTTCTAAATTTTCTATAAAGCAACATTTTAAACAAGTTCACAACTTTGCTGTTTAAATTGCCTGCAAATCTATAGAGTCTGACACTTCTACAGCTGATCCGTAAACCAACCAAGTTTGTACAGTGTTTTGCTACAATAATCTACAGCGGATTAATGTTAACTTTGGAATCACATTTTAATCAACAATTATAGGTCTTTAGAATAAAACCCCAATATTATCATTTAACGACTTAGATCACAGTATACTTTTGTTCTTTTTTAGTGTGCTTTGGATGCATTTCCTGTCAAAAGAGTCAAAAGGTACACAATGAACTCTAATCCCTCTGGTCCCAGTGTCAATTACAAAGCTGTAACAAAGGGAGGACAAACTCACATTCTTGCAAGAGTGGATGTGACACTGTTCATGCAGACACTTGGGGGTAGGCACAGATGGAATGATAACTACAGTTGATTATAATATAATATGGAAGAGAAAACTGAGTTGTTACACCTTAAGAGGAAGGCTACATTCACAGTAGACAGGATGGAGCACAGCTAAGTCTTTTACCTTATACCTAAATGTGTATTTATGAAACAGCAAATTTAAATATGCCTGCATTTTAAGTTGCTTTGCTTACTTTAAAAGCTGCTGTTAACTTCCCACTGAAGTTAATAAAACATTGATATTCTGGTGTCAGATTCAATCTGAAATCTAATGCATATACAATAGATTTTCTAATTAACACATGCTCCCTAATTTTAATATCAAATTATATTTACATATATAGACAACTTAAAGAGCATATCAGTAAAAAGGCAGTACATTTTAGTCTCTGGCTTGAAAAAATAAACCCACATTTAACTTTCCAAATCACATAAAATCAGTAACTTACAGAATGTAAGTTTTATAATTGTATATTGTTTTTATAACGACATTCTTAAAATATGGGGAAATCTTTAAAATTTACATGATGTCCTTTAGGAAATCGAGATTTCAAGTGTCAAAATAATATTCATCAAGAAAAAACGAATCCTTAATATTTGCAGATAATTCTACTGGAATCTTTGCAATAGATACTGTAGTATATATGGCATTTTACACTATTAAGCCATGCTGACAGCATGAAAAAAATAAGAGTACAGGATTGAGAGGACAATACTTCTGAGTCATTATTCATGTAACAGCTAATGAAGTAGTAGACCATGCATGAAAAATGAAATGCTACATAACTTTAAGTTTTAAAAATGCATTTTTCACAGATTGCTAACAAATGCAGCATTGCAATAAAAAAAAATCTAAATTCCAAATGACGAAGATCAAGTTGCCACTGACTGAATGAAACCGGACTTAAGGCAACATCCCAAAAAAAGGAAATGAGGCACTGATTTTAGCAAATTATGGAGCAAAATTTAAAAAGTCATCGTAAAATATGATAAAAATGAAAGCTGTCACTTTCTTGCTGGCTTTCTGCTATCTTTAAGATGTCAACCTTTTCCTAGGTTTCAGCCTGAAGCATTGGACATTGCTGAAGGAACATAGGAACCAATCAATTTAATTGCATTAAAAGATATATAGATAGATCAATAGATATATTTCAGTTCCTTTTATACTGAACCACAGGCATCATGTTGATTGATCGTTATTATATCATGTTCAGGATTATTCATCACTGGATTGGTTCTACATAATTTGCAGGATACAGCCCAACTTGTCCATTGTCCAGACGACCTTTGCACCATCCTTGTTCATCTTCATCTTCTATTTTAGTTAGTTCTTCTCCTACGGGAGAGAAAAAAAGTAGTCTGATAACCCATCTATATAAGAGAATGTGAATAAATGTTGTCCTTCTATAGCAGTTACGGTCTTCACTATTTCTACTAGTAAATTATAAGAAAATTAGACTAATCCCTTACTTTCCCCGTGCTCTATTCAAGAACCAGATTAGCAAGTCAAAAAAAAAAAATCGAACACAAATTATAATTGGGTTGTTATTAACCACAATGGACATTAATAGCGACTGGGATGAGACAATGATTTTAAAATAGAGTCACTCTTGAGCTGATATTTAAAACCCCATTTTCCACTTTTTTAAACTGCCTTTTAAATATTAATCTTCTTTATTAGAAGTATTCAAATATTCAAAGTATTTCATTGTATTTAAATACAATGACAATAAAGATTATACTTATACAAGATTGATTTTGTGTAGGGTTAGTGCCTTTGAACCATTTTTATTATTTATTTATTTATTTATTTATTTATTTATTTATTTATTTATTTATTTGTCAACATGTACAAGGTAATAGGTACTGGTACAGACATGAAGATTATCGCATGAGATTGGTACAAATAGACGGATATAAATAAGTATAACATGGCCATGAACACATAAAATGAGTACATATCAATGGGGACAGTAGGACAGGGATGGTAGGCATGCTGGTGCGCTTATTCACACGCCCTTAGGGACCTCTTAGGAAACGTGTGAGGGCCACGGTGGACAGTTTAAAGTTAAAGATATGGGGGTTTGAGGAACTAACAATGGAATCAGGTAGAGTGTTCCAGGCATTGATCACCCTATTGCTGAAGTCGTATTTTCTGCAATCGAGTTTGGAGCGGTTTACTATTAGTTTGTATCGTTTGCCCATGTATTATTGCGATTGAAGCTGAAGTAATTGTTTGCAGGTAGGACGTTATAGCAGATAAATTTGTGTACTATGCTTAGGTCGGAACAAAGGCGGCGTAGTTCGACGTTGTCCAGGTGTAAAATTTCAAGCCTGGTGGCTTAAGGTATTTTATTGCAAGCAGAGGAGTGAAATACCTCTGGACTTTCTCTGTTGTATTCATGTCCCAATATACAGTGTGAATTCCAGGCAGGAATTTTTGGCAATTGCCTGGATAAATCTCTACAGTTTTCTTGTCAACGTTTTCAGAAGTGGTTTGCCCTGGCCTTTTTCACAGGACAAGAGTGACTGGCCTAAAGTCACCCAGCTGGCTTCATGCCTAAGACAGGACTAGAACTCATGATCTCCTGGTTTCTAGTTTGGTGTCTTAAACCAGCGGTACCCAAGCTTTCCAGTTTGGCGGCTCGGGGAGGAGAGTCATATGAGTGGTAGGCGCACAGCTTCATTTGTGTGAATGGCGGGCACTTGCCCATCTCTCCCGCAGCCTGATTTCGAACAGGCCATTGTCCAGGCATTCAGGATCCATGTCTTAAATTACTATACCAACCTGGGTCTACCAGTTAATATTTACACTATTTTTATAATATTCTCTTATTATTGAATATGCATTGGGAATGCTTTATGCTCATCAAAGTAAGCACAAGCAGGAAATCTTTTTGATTACTTCAAAACAGAACTATATTTCTCTTCTACTGCTATTGTCCCAAAGATGCTTTTTCCAAGAGGCAAGTGGACTTTGGGGGTTTTCTTTGAAGCCGTTTTGCTTCTCATCCAAGAAACTTCTTCAGTTCTGACTGGATGGTGGGGAATGGAAGAATGCAAATGACCAGCTGTCTGCAAGGAATATAAATCCTTCCATTCCTTACTATCTAGTCAGAAGGAATTAAATTGGGAATTACCTCTACTGCTATTATTTAAAAACAGTAACTGAAAAATTTTATACTAAAAAGTGAGGCTAGGTTGAAGTGCCCTTGGAGGCAATGCTGTGGCATCTGCAGACTGAGATTGAGATGTTTGTGTGATTTAGACTAAGTTTGATTTAAGAGGAAGCTGTTAATAGCAAACTGGGTCATAAGAGAAGCCTAAACATTTTCATTATTCTGCTTTGCTGCACCTGAAAAAAAAGTTGAGTGCCATCGTTTTCCAAAATAAAACTACGAGAACGGTGAGCTATCACCATATTATGTCTTATGGCACACTTCCAGAATGTGCAGAATCTGCCTGTTAATCATTTAGCTCTTTTTAATTATCAAAGAGAAAGAATAAATGGGCTCTTAGATTTTTGAAATATGCTTTCTTTTCCCAAAAAAAGAATTGGAATGCCTATCCCAGTTTAGTTGGAAAGAGAAAAATTCAGTGAAGAAAAATGGACAGGTGCCTGACAAAGCGAATAGTAGTTATTTTAAATAAACACATGCCTGGTTCAAAAGAGAATTAATCAGTAGGTAGTCTTAATTTTAAAGTAATTAGTTCATTATTTTATTTTACTAAGACAATCAAAAGCTTTTAAAAAGACAAGGGTAAATTATTCCTGAAATTCTTGCCAAGAAAATTCTTGCCCCCAGGAGATAAGGCTGGCTCGAAGCTAATAGTAATTATTCATATTCATTTTTTTACAAACGGTAAAGCCATATTACTTTTTACAACCACAATAATGATCATATGGTAAATGTATACATTGCTACTTAGTGTGTGCAAACATCTTACAGAGAAGAGCAACTAAGATGATTAGGGGACTAGAGACTAAAACATAGGAAGAACGGTTGCAGGAACTAGATATGTAGTTTAATGAAAAGATTGACTAAGGGAGACGTGATAGCAGTATTCCAATATCTCAGGGGCTGCCACAAAGAAGAGGGAGTCAAACTATTCTCCAAGGCACCTGAGGGTAGAACAAGAAGCAATGGGTGGAAACTAATCAAGGAGAGAAGCAACTTANAAATGATTTAAAAACAGCCCATTTTTTGCTCGTTTTTTGCCCTCCCCAGCCCCCAGGAGCACTTTGCAGGCCTCCCAAAGCCTCTGCATGCAGGGATGGGGTTTCGGGAGGCCAAAAATGCTGTATTCAATGTATAAGACACACCCAGATTTTCTCCCTCTTTTGGGGGGAAAAAGGTGCGTCTTATACTCCAAAAAATACAGTAAGCTCTGGGTATCCTTGTCAACACAAAGTTAACATTAATTCAGTGTAGTGTGATGCTGTCTTGGCATGTATTATCAAAAATATAACTTCATATCATAGAAAAAAATGGTTCCAATCCATTTTGCTTTGGTCAGATTTTACAGTTACAGATTAGAACAAGTTCAGAAGCGGATTTCCCAGATGGTGAACAGCCTGGAAATCAAGCTCTATATGGAATGGTTAAGGATTTGAGAAGAAAGTTATGATAGTCTTTTTTATTATCCCAGATGTAATACAAGAAGCAGATTTTTTCACCACAATTTAATTAATTAAACGGAATTGAGGAGAGCAACAGGTTGGTAATCTCTTTCATACTTTACATTGAAAAGGTTTATAAGGAATTAAGCATCTCCTTCTGAATGTTTGCTGCATGGTTTTTGAAAATGCTGCGAACGGGACAAGAAGAGCCGGGAAAGAGATAAATATGCAAAAGCATTATTGGCATATGAAACAAATGAAATAATATTCAACTTGATGGAGAGCCAATGAATTACTGAAAATATTTTAAAAGCTAAATAGTCAATTGCAGAACAATTGCCCAATCAGTATGTGAGTATTCAACTTTACAGGAGTTGGATTGTCAAACAAAAATAGCCAATCTTGGGGAAAGCTACTGCTACATTTGGTACATAAACTTCACCCATTTTAGTTGGAAATGACGAGTATAGGATTGTTCTTTATCAGATCTGCAAAACAATACTCACAGTAAAGTTGACGATATTTTAATTTATGGAGAGAACTGCAACTTACTATTCAAAGGAGTTAAAGCATAAAGTCCCAAGACATAATAGAAGAGTTGCAATTGATATTTGATACTAGTACAGCTAGCAAATCATGCAAACACTTTAAAAACAAACAAAAGATATGGGAAACATATATGCCAGAGTGACAAAAATCAGCGTAAATATTAACCAAAGCTTAGCTTGTAAATGAATTTTTCATCTGATACTCTATATTTTGAAATTCATGTAAGATACACCTTAATGAAAGGTGTGCCAGACTATTTCTATTTATTTTATATCGGTGCACCATAAAGACAGCCAACAGAAACAAGAGTGTTTCGAACCAAGAAGCATCTTTTCTACAAGATGAAGAAATATATATGTACATATAGACACAAAAACTGAGGAAAATATCCCCTATGAATGAACCGCATGCATTGCTAAATGAATTGCTTACCGAACGAAACTCAAGTGAACGCCAAGTGAGCGATGAGTCCCAGAGCAGTCAATACAGAGGAAAACTCCATATGTTATGCTTGCCCAGCTTGGATTTTTTGCTCCACAGTCAAAACATAACTAGAAAACAGTCACAATTTAATTGTTATTACGCAGCATACTTTTGTCTCCTAAATAAGTATGATCTGCTGATTAAACCTACCTGCAAGTTTCTGTGGCACAATGGGGTAAGGGAAGTAACAGAAATACTAAAATCTGACATCCAACATATTGACATTTAAAATCTGACATTTAAAATATTTTTAACTTAACCAAACATATACGGGTAGCTCTTGTTTAATGATTGCCTTGTTTAGTGACCATTTGAAGCTATGATAGTGATAAAAAAAATAACATTAAGACCAATCTTCAAATTTGCAACCTTCTGTGAAAGTCTGCAAAGCAAAGGAAAGCTGAAATCAGGTGTTAAACACAGTCACAGTTTCAATTAATGAAACAAAGCCTTCAAATACAATTCAAGTGGCATGTATATTTCTGTTGTTGCACCTCTTGGAAATTCCTAAGGAGTGCACAGATAGATGAATGGATGGATGGATACAGATTCAGACATAAATATTTGCAAATCAATAAATACAATAAGAAACTTATCATATCCATATGTTGTCTGCAAGAGAGAGAATTCCAAAATATTCAAACAATGGCTTGAAATTACAGGGAAGGCAATAAGTTAATTAACCACCCTGATTAACTGCAAAGTTTCTCCAATAAATTATGTATCTCTCTGATAATTAGGCTGTAGGTCAGAAAAAATGAAAAGTATACCCAAAATTATTTGTTTTGCTAACAAAGTTAGCAAAGTTAGTTCCTGCTAACTTATAATGGATATAATGACTATAGTAGTACAGGTAGTCCTCGATTTATGATCATAATCGAGCCCAAAATTTCTGTTGCTAAGTGAAACATCTGTTAAGTGAATTTTGCCCATTTTACGACCTTTCTGGCCACAGTTAAGTGACTCACTGCAATTATTAAATTAAACATGGTTGTTAAGTGAATCTGGCTTCCCCATTGACTTTCCTTGTCAGAAGGTGGCAAAAGCTGATCACAGAACCCCAGGACACTGCAGCTGTCATAAATAATCAGTTGCTAAGTGCCTGGATTTTTATCACATGCCTATGGGGCTGCTGCAATAGTCTTAAGTATGAAAAACAGTCATAAGTCACTTTTTTCAGTGCTGTTGTAATGTTGAACAGTCACTAAATGAACTGTGGTAAATCGAGGACTACCTGAACATACGCAAAGGACATTATGATTTGGTAAAACAACATATTGACTTAGATATACTGCTGCATCACGCTAGCTGTTCTTACTGTCCAACAACTGCATATGAACATGTGTTTTAGCCAACATTAAAATGGCACAAATAGGAAGACTTTACAGACCTTGGATTACTTCCAAAAGCAAAGCAGGATAAGCCTGATTAAATCCTGGACACAAGACCATCACAGATCTCAAGGCTGTAAGCTAATGGGAAGTTAGAATAATTCTTGAAATAGTACTGCGGCCCAGATAATTACATGTAATAGATCCACTAGGAACTGCGTTTGATTTTAAGAAGATACTACTTTTATATAAGATACTATTTAAAGAACCTAATCAAAGTATCTCCCATAAAATAAGCATGTTTTCCTATTTCTTAGCTCTTCATAGGCAGCTGATTGATCACTGTGAACTTAGAAGACAAAAAGATCTCAGAGGTTTTTGATTTGATCCTGCATACTTCACCAGTCTTCAAGATAACTTGCTGGCATTTCTTTGAGAGCAACAATGAACATATGAAACCCAAATATTCCCTTTTACTGTAGCCCCCACACCTTTTCCGAAACCAACTTGGTCTCAGAATCTAATGTATCCACGTTATGGACACAAATAATTGCACTGAAATTCTTAATGCTTAATTAAGAACTCATTCAACTAAATAAATTGGCTTGCTCTGATCGATGCTGCCCTTTATTTCTTCATCTTAAAGATGGCATTATATTCATGTAAACTTAATTCATATACACCATTAAGTTCCTTGCTTAATTATTGGAAAAAAATTCTGAAACACTCAAAATGAGCATGTTGCTTTAAAGTTATTTTCACAGAATGCAAGGGGATAGAATTACTTGATACTTTATTAATCTAATAAAATAATTTCGGTCTAAATATTCAAAAGCAAACAAATACCTTAAGATAAACTGGCATTTTGCAATGCAATTGAAGCTTGCATTGCAAAAACAATTGTTTCTTTTGACACACATGGACATTTTCAGTTAACTCATCAATTTCTAGCTTAACTTTAAAGACTGCATTCCACAGTGATGTAAACATATGCTACTGGGATCGAAAAAGGGAACTTTGAACTTGGATTCCAGCACAGAGGAAGTGAACATTAATGTTATTTTAAAATGATATGGCTAGTAAGGATTTAAATATGCCATAGAAAATATTCTCACAAAGTACCAACAATAAAAAAATATTTTGGCCTTGGATTAACATTATAGTATCTTCAAGCCAGGGAAAGATCAGGAAAAACAGCATGTTATCATGAGTAAATAATTACATTAAGTGATTGCTTGCAAATGAACACTGGCTAGAATGTGAGACTGTCAAATGATGACAACATCCCACAATATACACTGGGGTCAGGAATTAATAGGAGTGGAGTTTAGGTGCAACACTTCTGAGTGAAAAAACAAGACATCTATGCCAGGAAGTCTCTGGTGTTTGCTTTTTTACTATTATTCAATATTGAAAGTTTGTAATCTATTCTGGAAAGTGCATAAGATTTAGTAACTTTGGGAAAACCACTATGACACAATAGTCGAGTCTTCTTCTAGAAGTAGCCATACAGATTCAAATCCATTCTCTTGCACAAGCTGGCTGACTTGGGCCAGTTTGCTACTGTGATTTTATTGCAATATTTTCTTCACACAGCTGAGTAAAATTTCACTTTAGATGCAGCTGAAATAACAGGCATGCTCCAAGTCTCAGTATTATTATTATACAACGTGTTTTTTTCTCTTGGAGGACTTGAGTGGGGATGGCACCAGTATCTTCATACCATCACCCTGCAAGGTGCAGAGACTGGCTTTAAAGTCTTCTACCTGAATGGGGTCTTGACCTTGTCTCTCCCAAGTTCAACACCCAAACCTGTACCTTTATTAGCAGAAAAGCAATCTAATGATATTGAAGGCTTTGTCGATACATACATATCTAGTCTAGTCTAGTGAATAGAATAGAGAATAGAATAGAGAGTAGAGTAGAGTAGAGTCAAGTAGAATAGAATAGAATAGAAATCTTTATTGGCCAAGTGTGAGTGGACACACAATGAATTTGTCTTTGGTGCATGCCGTGGACATAAAGAAACTAAAATAGAAAACATTCATCAAGAAGCATAAGAAACAACACTTAGTGATAGTCATAGGTTGCTAACAAGCAATCAAATCATATTAGGGAACAAAAAAAACCAATACAAATTGTAAAGATACAAGCAACGTGGTTACAGTCGTAAGTGGGAAGAGATAGGTACTAGGAAGGATGAGAAGAATAACAGTAATAGTCTTGTAAATAGTTTGACATGTCAAGGGAATTATTTGTTTAGCAGAGTGATGGCATTCGGGGGAAAACTGTCCTTGTGTCTAGTTGTTCTGGTGCGCAGGGCCCTATAGCGTCATTTTGAGGGCAGAAGTTGAAACAATTTATGTCCAGGATGCGAGGGGTCTGTAGATATTTTCACAGCCCTCTTTTTGNGGAAGTCTTTAAAAAGATGTTGGATAGCCATTTGTTTGAAATGGTATACGGTTTCCTGCCTAGGCAGGGGGACTAGAAGACCTCCAAGGTTCCTTCCAACTCTGCTTGTATTGTATTGTATTGTATTGTATTGTATTGTATTGTATATATTAAATGAAGTGTGCTCAGATGCTGAAATACACCATGTAAATTAATTAGAGAGAGTGGAAAGGAAAGGAAGAGGTAAGAAGAAAAAGGAGACAGGAGAGAGGGAAATAGGAAGTCGAGGAGGGGGAAGTAGGAGAGAAAGAAGGAGTGGAAAGAGGAGAGCGAAGGCAAGAGGAAGGGGAAGTAGAGAAGAGAGGGATGGTAGAGGAAAGAAAGGAGGTAGAGAGGAGGAGAGAGGGAGAGGAGTTAGGATGGCGGTGAAATAGGGTATAATATGGTGTATTGAAAGCAGAAGAGCAAATAATAGCTGTTCTGAGTTGAGGGAATGATATAATAATGGACAATACATTTTTTTTTGTTCAGATGTAATGATATACTTATAGTTATATATAGGGAATTAAAATTAAAAACTTTTTCAAAAAAATAAAAAGCACCACAAATCTTTTGAAAAACAGACACATCATAGACCTGAATTTTCTTGCATTCCCTATGGTAGAAAAATATGTAATGCAACCAGACAAGACATACCAGTCTTAAAGCTCAATTCATCATGCTCTTGGCCTTCATAATCATAGAGGGCTCGTACTCTCACTTCCACCGCAGGGGAAACATCGTCATCAAATGGATTCGATTCTCCTTGGGCGTCATTGGATGAAAACGGATTGCTGGTTTCTTCATCAGACCATTCGGCCCCCAAACTCTGGTTTTTCTCATAGCTGCTAACACTAAACACAAAGAACACATTATTTTAGCTTGGCTTAGCTGAACGAATGGGCAAGAGCGGTAAATATACCACTATGGCGGCCCACAAGGGCTCCTATTTAATCACGAGATGTTTTGTTATGTCAAACAACCAGAGAAAAGTCAGTATTAACAGTGCACGGAGAAGCATATGTAGAGTACGTGTATAAGCTATGAACCAGTAGTTCAACACCAACACTGGAAAGATAATTCGTTTTAAGGAAAAATGTTAGGTGATAAAGAGAGATTCCTAAGGGAACATATCCAAATGAATACAGCCAGCGGTAAAAATTCCAGTAATGGTTTCAAAGCACACTACCAAAGACCATGTCTGTGGAATCAGTGAAGGAAAACACCAATCCGAAAACAAAACAGGAAGAGAGCACTGGTGGGTTAGTCAAGTCTGCAAAAGGTATGTAACCTCTGAGCAAGGACTTCATGCACACAATGGTTTTGAAGAAGCCCAGAGTTGGAAACCCTGGATAGAGAAGTGTAAGCAAGAAAAAAAACAAGTTGAGAACAGTCTTTCACCAACTTTTTGATCTTATTGTCCTCCTTTTCACTGACAGTACTTCCAGAATCTTCTTCGTCTTCAAAGGGATTGTAACTTGACTGTACTGATTGCACTGTGTTACTCGGGACACTAAGGTTGCTATTTGGGAGGGAAAAAAAGGGTTAAGGTGACCCTATCATTTCAGGGAGCCAACACACACATAGGTATAAACAGGTAACAGCAGAAATATAAGTTTGTTTATTTCTTGTGTTTTATTTTNGCAGGGCCCTATAGCGTCATTTTGAGGGCAGAAGTTGAAACAATTTATGTCCAGGATGCGAGGGGTCTGTAGATATTTTCACAGCCCTCTTTTTGACTCGTACAGTTTACAGGTCCTCAATGGAAGGCAGGTTGGTAGCAAATTGATTGTTTATTGCTTATTGTACACTATGACTATCATGAAGTGTTTTTTTATTCTTGATGAATGCATTTTATTCTCCTTATGTACACTGAGAGCATCGGCACCAAAGACAAATTCCTTGTATGTCCAATCACACTTGGCCAATAGAGAATTCTATTCTATTCCATTCTCTATATTCTATTATACTCCATTCTATGTTCTATTCTATTCTGTGTTATATTCTATATTCGATTTTATTCTATATTCTATTCTATTCTACATTCTGTTCTATTGTATTCAATATTCTATTCTATTTTCTATTCTATTCTATTCTAAATCATAGTGTTGGAGAAATGTTTAACCCCAATGCTTCCCTAGACAGTTCATTTTTCCCCGATTTCCAAGTCTATGATTTCCTACAGCCCCATCCAAATATGAATTCTATTTATAAACTCCCTCCCCGCCCCCCATAAAGCAGTAAATCCTGTAAAATGGATGAACCCATCCAGGTAATGAATGATCCTTCTGGGAACAAGCTGCCTTCTTCGGGGATGTCGTTCAGCAATCTCCCCACCTTCAGGGTTTCCTGAGGGTCTCCTCCTCCCCCCCAAACCTCAGGATAAACACGCTCGGGCTTCCCGGCTCCCCCACACGCAACTCCCACTCGCTCCGCCTCTCGCCGCCTTGCAACGTGTCACTCGGAAGCCCGACGCTTCGCTTCCTCTGCCTACCTTGTTGGTGGCGACGGCGCGGAGCCGCTTGAAGACAGTCGCCAAATCGTGCTTGCTAGGTTCGCACATCCCTCCGCGGAGCCCCTATTTTGGGGGTCTCGCTGCCGTTTCAAACGGTGCCGCCGCTCCTCCTTCTGCCGTTGCTGCTTTCGCCGCTGCTGCCAGACCGGCGGAAACAGGAGACGGTGACGCAGGCGCGTTGAAGCACCAGGAACGAAGCCGCTTTCGTCCCACTACGCCCGCGTCCCGCCCACCAAGGGGCGGGGCCCCGGCGCGCTCTGCCCCCCCCCCCCAATGTCGCGGAGAAAAGCGACCTAGAGAGCCCAGGCGTGCGCGACGGGTCCCTGCCGCTGATTTGTCCGCCGCGGATTGGAGGGCGTCCCTCGGACGACCCCGCCCACCCTTCTTTCCCTCTCCTTCTCCTCCCACGTGATACAGAAGGCGTCCCGTTGCTAGGAGAGCTTGGAGAACGGAGGGCCGGAGGCCTCGCGGATGACGTCATCTGGGCTGGCCTTTATTCGGTGGGCGGGGCCTAAGAGCATTGAAAGACGTCTGAAGAGACTTCGGCTTGTCTTGTCTTAGCTTGAACGTTGACAGCTGGATGGATCGATTTAGGGTGGGGAAGACCGGCAGAATAGCTCCCGGGGCAGTAGAGAATCTCGATAAGATCCGGAAAGAGGGGGAAAGCCGGTTGTTCCCAGGCGAAGGATGCGTTCAACGGTCGAATTCGGCTTGGGAAGAGGCTTCCGTTCGCCCCTTCGAGTACTTTCTCCCCCTCCTCTGCCGAGAATGCCAGCAGAAAGCTGGAGGGGCTCCTGGATTACCTGGAAAATCCTCTGCCCTGAAAGGAAAACGGGGGTTTGATCTTTTGCGGGGGTTGGAACTTAAGATTGAGTGGGTACAGGTAGTCCTCGAGGTACAACGGTTTGCTTAGTGACTAAAGTTACAACGGCACTGAAAAAAAGGGACTTACGATCATGGTTCACACTTATGACCGCTGCAGCATTCCACATGATTTACATTCGGATTGCTTGACAACTGACAGGTTTTTGATAGTTGCAATGTCCTGGGGTCATGTGATCCCCTTTTACGACCTTCTGACAAACAACGTCAATGGGGGAGCCAGATTCACTTAACATCCGTGGTGCCCATTTAACAACGGCAGGGATGCACTTAACAAATGTGGCCAGAAGAGATCTTAAAATGGGACAAAACTCGCTCAACAAATTGCTCACTTTGCAACAGAAATTATGGTCGTAAGTTGAGGACTGCTTGTACTGTTTATGTTGTCATAGGCTGGAGGAAGACAATAGCAAATGACTTCTCAATTGTTGTCAAGAGTGTTCTTGAAATCACCAGGAGTTAAGCTTGGTATTGTTAACTAAAACGAAGAAACTGTTTGCAAACGATGTTTTAATTACTGCTCTTCTGAGCAGAATAGAAGTCAAATCATGGAATGATAAAATGAACAATGATCTTCTTGGGTTGTCAACAAACATGCATTATTTATTTAGTTGTTTATATTTAGAGGCTGCCAATCTCCCTCATAGAATGACTTTCTATCCCATCTTTATTATTTTTATGCATAGCTCAAGGCTTGATTTTTGCCAGTGAGTTGTAGAAGAATATACTTTTTTTATTTTAAAGTAAGTAAACAGCCACCAGCTTCAGTTATTCTTTAGAGCAGTGTTTCTCAACCTTAGCCACTTGAAGATGTCTGGACTTCAACTCCCAGAATTCCCCAGCCCACACTCGCCGGCCCGGGAACTTTGGGCGGTTAAGTACAGACATCTCCAACCGGCCTCTGTTGAGATAGACTGCTCTT